CTTCACTGCCTCGCTCTCGCGCCTTGTCCTTGGTTGCTAAGCAGCCCCTCTAGTATATAAGGACCCCCCTAGGCGCTCCCTAGTCCCCATCTCGACCTCTTGGTCATTGGGACTAGGTGAGTGACCATAGCGTTGTATCTCTCTTCGATTGCTAATGTATAACTTGGTCATTGGGACTAGTCTGTCGCTGCTTGCGTGAAGACTAGCTTTCGTCGGTCTCGTGCCTTCGTGCCGACCGCCGCTCTGCCCCGTCGAGTTTTCTGATACGTTTATCCCTCTCTCCCTCGCTTTTCCCCCTTTCGGCTCCCCGCCGCTCGCCTACGGGGTCGTCGCCGAACGTCGACCCGAATCTACGCGCCTAGTCGCCGCGACACTCCAAAGCCACTGGCTCATCTATGAAAACGTAAGAGTCAGACCTTGGAGAAGATGATAGCGACGCACCTTCGCTGTCGTCGGGGTCCAGTACGTCTGGGTCTTCTACTGCGGCTGTATCTGCTGCGGCTGTGCCGATATCTTCAGACACGACGCCTTCGCGACTTGTGCCAAGTGACGTGAACAGACCTGGGTCAGGTTGTTAGTATGTAGTGTGGGTTCATTCAAAGCGGCGGCCTAACTGTTCAGCATTGGCCGATGGGATTTCCCGACAGCATCCATGTACTTCTTCCGCAGATCCAGTGCAAGCTCATCGGTGATCAGGATATCAAAGACGCCGTTCTCAAGAACGGAATGGAGGATCGCCGACGATCAGTACCCTGCATCTGCAATGGACTTGATTTCAGGGCTAATCTGCTGCTGCGAGAGAAGTGTGAAGAGCTTGTCCATGCTGTCTTGACACTGAACCAACATCCCAGCCCAAAGCAACACGTCCTCCGGTCCTATGGTGTATGGAATTCGGTCACCCGACAATCCATGGTGGTCCCGCGCTGGTGAGAGTTGATGATGCTTCTCCAAGATCTGCTCCAGAACAGCGGGAAGTCCGATGACCGATTGGCTGTGATGCGACACGTACCATGCACGAATGAGGTAAGTTGGATGCGCCGACCACATACGCTGACCGTTCGCGATACGAGCGTGAAGTTTGAGGCAGCAACGTTTTGCGATGAAGAAGAAGAAAAGAGCAGTCTGATGTCCCTCCTGATTGGTCTTCTCGGCCAAGGACGCGGGAGAGGAATGGACAAAGTAGTTGAGGGCAGTGATTATATCGTGAACGTGGCACTCCACAGAGGGACATCTGTGGTTTTACTCAGCTATACTGTAAGCTATGTACCTTATAAAGACGGACTGGGAGCTCTTAAAAGTTTGCTTCAGCATCTATTCACCCTCTTCAGGGTCCTGAGGCTTCAGCGACTGTATCCGGAGCGGCGGTGTGTTGGCTGGAAGACGATCGGGAGACGTGTTAGGAGCGACCAGTGCCGCAGTGATCCCCTCGCAATCGATTCGGCCTGTGACCGCGATGACCTTGTCGTGGGGTGTTTGCCCGGTGTTGATGATGAAGGCCAAGTAAGTCCAAGGATCCAAAGCCTCGAGAGTCTTAGCTTCTGCACCCGACCTCCGGCCTTGCACCTTGGTATGGCTGAGAAGGTATAAAAGTAACGCAATATCACGGCGGACGTCGAGCTCCGGATCAACGGGGGAGAAGAAAGTGTCGAAGCCAGGGGATGCATAAGTTGCTTGAGCCATGAACGCATGAACAGCGAGGATGATGGTCTGAGACGAATTAGCCGCCCAATGCGAACTTTCAGGCGTCCCATAGGCGCGCGACGAGATGAGCAACCGACTACTAGAATTGAGCACACCTATAATATCACTCAGACATCAAATTCCAAACACGGCTCAGGACACAGGCATACGTTATACAAGTACCTGATTTGAGTTACACGCTGTGAGTTACAAACGAAGACATGCATACTACGGCTCAGTGTTGTCATTGACCCGGTGGTGGGCTCTGTGCACACCTCTGACGTGTCGCTCCGCCAGTACGAGTCCTATCAGGCTACGGACAGTGCATTGTCCCGGCTCTAGGGCTCGAAGCTCGAGGCTTGAAGGCTTCCCAGCCCAGAAATCTCGCGGTGCGCACAACTCCCGGAGTAAGGGCGCATCAACTGTCTATCGCAGGAACGACCCTGCCCTCCTCATCCTCGCCTCCGCGCAGCCCGCTCACGAGTTTCCGTGACACCCTCTTTCGGGCGGAAATGGCCTGTGTTGGCCCGAGCATAGACATCGAACCCCTCCTGCTCTGGGAGAGTGCGGCCCTCCGTGCATGGACGCACCGGCTCTCTTCGCGGAACCCCCAGACGTGCGTGCTCCCCCGGGTGCGCTGAAGGTCTTATAGGCCCGCAGTGGTCGGGCACGGATGCGCACAAATCTTGCCGTTCGCTCCACCTGCGTTTCTCCACCCCCTGCAGAAAATTAAAGACATGCAGTACCTTCGGTCGCTCCTCGGCTTGATGCTCGTACTTGCGCAGGGTCAGTCTTTCTTCACGCACATATTCTACGAACGCGCACTCAACCTCCAGTATGCACCCAGTCCGCGCGATCTCGGGATTTGTCGGCCGCTCCCACGTCCGCGGCGAAGACGAGCATGCGGTGAGTGCCCATCGGATCCTTCCCCCGCCCGACCCTGCTGTGCACTGACTGGGATCACATAGGCCATCGAGGCACGCGCCGCCGCAGACAAGACGGTCACGGACACGACGACCGTCAGCGTCGTCCTCACCCGCTCGGTCGCGGTCTCGGTCTCCGTCACGGACACCGTCACCGTCTCCGAGTCGGGTTCGCAGTCGGCGTCGGAGCCTGCGCACACGCCCACGCCCACACAGCCCGCCTCCCTCCCTGCGGCGCACACGACGGCGGCGACCTCGCCCCGGGACACCACCACGGACCTCGGACGTGCAACCACGTCTGTTACGGTCGCGGCTGACTCTTCCGGTACCGCCGCCGCGACATCTGCGGACCCCGTCCGCTCCTCCTCGGCGACGGTCTCCGAGCCCGAGGACTCTGCGACAGGCGCGGTGCAGACCACCTCGCGCGCGTCCGCGTCCGCGCAGAGCACGAGCACGCTCGCGCCCCTCCCGTCCGCCGCGTCTGGCTCCGCGCACGCGAGCTCGGTACGTCCCTGCGCACCCTGCACGCATTCGGGCACAGCACGCTGACACGCGCGGCGCACGCAGGCAAGCTCTGCAGCGGCCAGCGCGTCCGGCCTCCATGCGGCCTCCTCTGCCGCCGCCGCGGGCTCGAGCACGAGCGCGAATACGGCGGCGACGGTCGTCGCTCCGCTCTCGAGCACCGCGCAGGGCGGGCCTGTGCTCCCGAGCGGGGCGACGTTCCACGGCAACGGCGCGGCACGGGTCTCCGCGGTCGGGGCTGGTTTCGGTCTCGTGCTGGGGGCGGTTGCGTGGGGCTGGTGAACGGGCGCGTGGGCGGTGGACTCGGGATGTCGATCCTGAGGATGCGCGGGTGGCTAGGCGTGGATGTGTAATATGTCTCCTTTCTTGATACTGTCGCGATGGTGTAGGCCCCGTGGGAAAAGTTTTGATCTGTATGTATCCACTTTGCAGCCGGGTTACCTATGCGTATCGAGCGGCGTGGGCACCGTCTTGACTGGCATTGAAAGCGTCCAGGTGCAAGTACCGGCGTTACCTGCTCCCTCTCATGGACATCCTCACAAGCCGATCTCCTCCCCACTGCATTAGCATCTGAGACATGATACGGGCATAGGCACTGGCAACAGTTCCGGGAATGCCAGTGTGTTCACGATGCTACACACGCCGCACTTGGGCTTGGCTGCTGCCTGCCTTGCGTTTGTACTGCATGCATCTTCAATCTGGATCCAGACGAAGCGGTGCAGAACCTTCCTCTCGTGCAATCTGGCCTTACCTGATCTTCACGGCGCGGTCGAGCACTTCTGAGGTTGTAGCCAGACTGGTCCTGGAGGGCCTGCATAAGCGATATCGTGCACCCTCTCCGCGAAGCAGTTGGACCGTCGAACGCGGGCGATGTGAGAGGGAGATATTCGAAAGTGCACTTCCGCTCACGGTGCGCACAGCCAGAGCCTGACTGGAGGTGTGCGTTCAGAACGAGCTGCAGAAGCACTCCTGGCGCCATGCGACTATCTGTGCCAACTTCCTTACCAAGACCTTCCGCTGCGACGGCGCTCCCGTAGCGGCTTGCGTCGAGCGAACATCTGTGCAAGCAGAGTATGAATGCATAGGGAGCCGAGCCAAGATTGCCGCTCACGAGTCATACACGCGCACACGGGAAAAGCCATGTTTATCGAGTGCCAATTGCGCGGTACGGGTCATCAGGCTCTACAAGACGAGGGAGAGCGTACGCGAGGACGTCAGCAGACGCGCCATCCTCAGACAGGACCTGAAGCTCCTCCATGTCGCGAAGTATCATATCGAAGTACTCCGCGGCACCAGACATGTGCGCAACGCGACAACAAGCAGCATGAATGGCAAGATACTTCGGGCTAGGTAGAGGGGAGTCGCTATGCGCGGTGAGATGTACGGTGGCCGGGACACCGAGTCCAGAACGAGCTAACTCCAAGCGCGGTGCCATGGCGACGCGATAGACATTTGGCTACGCATGAATTGTAAACGAGAAGACGTGCATGTATGGAACCTCTCACCTCACTCTGCGCTTCAAACCAGAGCGACATCTTGTCAAAGAGGTCGTGGATGGAGTATTCGAGTGTCATGATGTTCTCTAACCGATGAAGATTCGTCTTGGAGGTGTCCGATTTCAATTCGTTGTAGACATCCTTGTGACCGAATCGTTTCAACAACATCCAAGCTGTCGCGACCTGATGTTCCTGAGAATATTAGCTGGGTTAGTCGCTTAACTTAGGTACATGAGTGCGCGTTTGAATACGCACCTTGTCGCCCCTTCCTCCTGCCCGAATGTTACCAAGCGAGTCCGGGAATATGTATGCGCACTGCGCGCAGCACAAAAATTCCCCTGGAGAATACGCGATAAGACCATTTTCACAGGAAGACAAGTCGACTCTGCCCGTCACCATGCAGCGGAAGTTATCCCTAGCCAGGGCCTGTTCGAGAGGGTAAGACAAACGGTCCAACGTTGCACTGGTAGGGAGAGCACATATACCGCGAGTTTGGCATCGGAATGATTGCGTGGTGTTGACTGCAGATCCTCCATGACCTGACTCTTCGCAACTTCAAAGGAGGGGCGAGAAGGATGATCCGAAGGAACAGGAGTTCGTCCTCTCGTCTTTCTGACTTTCCGGAGGTCAGGCTCTGAACCTGCAGTGAACGTGGATGGAAATTATATAGTGCAACCTACAGATGAGGAGCAAATTTTTGACATAGAACTCTCCCAGATTGTAGAGAGCTTGGAGCGGACCTTGATCCGCCGTGTCGCAGGATGCGATGTCATCTTTAAGCGTGGCCAGGGCAGTGGCGTTTGGAGCATAGAAGAGGAGATAGCCGACCACACGGGAGTACATGAGGTCTTTGGCATTGGCAGCCTTGTTCGCCGATTCTTCTGCCGGCAGCGCAAGAGTCGCATACAAGCTAATCGCAGTGTCATCGAGGGGTGGTATTAAGCGTCGGGCCTCAGCGATGGGAGGTAGCGCAGTCATATTCTAAACGGCCGTCGAGGAGCCTGAGGGAGCAGGATTATACATGTCCTCAACGAGCGACGAGGGGTCGTCAGCTGCAGTGTACGAGCGAACGGCAGCCACGAAGATCGTTCTCAAGTGCTCGGTGCACCAAGCGGCTGTCTCCGAACGACGATTCATGCTCCGCGACGGCGCGACCAAACTTGTTAGGAGACCGCGGCTTGTTCCAGCATACGGCGCCTTGCAAAACAATGCTGTGCCCGCCCGAAAACACGTTTAGGAACTTCCGACAGTCTACATATCGAGCTCTCCGTACTTGGAGATCCCCTCTCAGCGCACTAACGTCCGCGACAACATACATGGGCAGAAGGTGTTGAAAACTCTCGATGTTGTATTAAATGCATGATATGTGCATCTCAGAAGTGCTAACACCAATTCGATAAAAGTCGAACGACACCAACGACCCCGTAGCGGATGAGCATTAGATTACCTCACTGGTGAGCGGAGGCTGGACATATATCTCAAATGCGCCATCGTTTTGCAAGGCACTATAATCCAGCCGCGTCCTTCGTGCCTTGCTCTTCTCCCGCAACCCCTCACCATTAATGCAGCACGCCTTGTGAATCAGTACCAATCCAGGAAACTATCGCAGAACCACTAGCGTACGAGTCCAGAATGAGTTCACCAAGACCTTCCGCGTGGCGCTGCTCACGTATTGGCTTGTTGGACAGGATGTCCGAGACGGCAAGCATGCGCAAGGCTGTGCAAGCAGCCTGTCTACCATGACAGTGAGCTCTGCACCTCCGTCGTAGACAAACTGAGACTTACAGGATGCGAGAAGAGGTAGAGCGAAACATCAAACGCGATGGAGTCCACCTTGAATAGATGACGGCATGCGAGACGTCGATGAGGAAGATGTAGACGGCGGACTGGGGCCGGCATCCCATGTACTCCGTTAGCGTGAAAAACTCGACGAAGCCGTATTTGAGCTAGGGTAGAGGAGAGAGCGACGAGAGCGACAATTACGAGGACAGACGCCGACCGTGTTCGGGAATCTATGGATCAAGAGAGGTCTTTGCTCTGATCAGATGCAGTCTTGACGTCGCACGGATCGTCGGTGAGTCATCTACATGTCGATTCGTGCGGCACGCCAGTCGACAGACCCTAGGTCTCGGCCGGCTAGCTTATACAGCATAGAGATCGTGGCCGTCACAAAGCCCAAGGAACGACATCTTGCATCTGCCAATCCACCCTTCGGCTCGCGGCCAACAATAGGCAGATCTCGAGACACCGAGGAGCCGGACCCAGGGCCGGCGAGGCACCTGCCTTGTCTCGTCCTCACAGCCTAGTAATGAGGAAACTGGCTGTCCTTCCAGCCAATGCCAACAGTACTAGGCTGCAAGCACAACGACGTGAATGTGAAGCGACAGGTGGAGCGTCGAAGCGAACAGTCGTGTCTGAAGGGGTCAGAAGAAAGACACAGGGCGGACACTCACGAGGTCCTCGGGGTGTAGTAACAACCCAACCCTCGGAGATGCGGGACGTTCAGACGTCGAGCGGAAGAGAGGGGAGACGTCGGGACGGGCGATGGCATAGCACCTGTACGATCACGGCAGTCCAGCCGCGTAGCCTCGGACAGCCCTGGCTTGCGGCAGTGAGCGCTGCGCTGTGCATGTGGCGTGTCAGAGGGAGATGTGGGGTATCTCGAGACAGCCCCAGAGCAACCTATCGTGCTGTATAATCGATCGGGGTTGAGAAACCGAGTTGAGGTTAGTGTGAACGCGCCTGATCATCCGGGTGCGAAATGAGGGTTGGACAACGGTGCTGTATCGTTGAGGGCTCCATATGCCTATCTTGAAAGGCGCGGAAAAAGGGTTCGATCATCGCCGTGGGTTGATGTATGATATACGTGCGCTCAGGCTGACTTCGAGGGTGGCGGACGATGGATGGTGATGCCCAGCCAACGCGGCAAGCGATACCCTTGAGCCGCCTCGTGCAGAGTTGTTGCAGTCTTACAGAGTCTCGTGCATGGTTTTTCGAGGGCGAGGGCGACGGACTGGCGGGTTGAGCTCGATTGGTGCACTAGGGGCAATGTCGGTCCACGAGATACGTACTGAATAGTGTGACGCACATGGATTCATAGAGGTCAAGGAGAAGCACGATGTTCGTGGAGGGACAGTGGAAGACACTCGATGTATTCAGCGACAAATAGACATGGTAGACGGACGCGGGCGAGAGGGGGCGGCTGGAAAGGCGACGTGGGGCTCCACCATCTGTCATGGGCATGCCACGATAGAAAGTCGCGGCCAGATGCGACCACACGCTGTGGGGTATCGGGTAGCCAATGCATGTGGTTCGGGCAAGGGTCGCAGAGGGTGAGCAGCGAATGCGAATGTTCGGAGCCGCGAGGGCGGACGAGGACGTTGGAGGTCGTGCCATGAGCAGCCGGCGGCAGCGATGAGAGATCGCCGGGGGCGGCTTCGGCGTGAGACTCTCAGACAGCCTGCACCGCCTCCGCTCTCCGGGCGCTCGCAGGATCCCTGCGGGCTGTCGACGACCACTGCCTCCCGTCCTCGTCCTCGTCCTCGTCCCCGTTCCCGCCCCCGTCCTCTGTTCTCCCTCTCCCCTCCACTTACTCCTCTCCTCGTCTCTGTTCTCAGTACATGGCCGCCGTGGCTACCAAGGCTTTCTGGTCTCAGCCAGACCCCGACGACCCTCTCTCCCAGGCACTCCAGCCGCCCCCGAACGAGTCCCCCGAAGATCGTGCCGCCAGGATCCGGCAGCAGGAGGACGCGATTCGCGTCTCAAAGGAAATTGACGACGAGATCGCCATAGCCAAGAGGGCCTACGAGCGGCGCAAGAAGGCCATAAAGATCCTCCTCCTAGGTCCGTTCCCCTTACCATGTCTTCTGCGCGTGCCCCATATCGACATCCCGACATCCGTCTCTAGGTCAGGCCGAGTCCGGCAAGAGCACAACCTTGAAGAGTACGTCCTTGTTCACCTGCCTCTTTGACCCTCCGTCCTTACCGATATCGTAGACTTCCAGCTCGCGTTCTCCCCCCAGCACTTCCACAAGGAGCGCTCTGCATGGAAGACTATCATTCAACTCAACTTGATTAGGTCAGCCTCGTTCACTTACACATATCCCCTCCACGCCCTATCCTGTTGTTAGTCGTGAGTCCGAATGGAGCGCCCCACTTGCGCCATTCGAGAACAAGGACGAACGTACTCACAGAACATCCCCGCGTAGCGTCATGTCTCTCGAGCCTACGCGCCCCTTTTCCGTCTTCCCCGAAGCGCACTTGCCTGTTTACTCACTCGCGCCCTCACCAGAAACATCAAGCGCCTCCTCGAGGTCCTCCAAGAGGAATGGGAGTCCTCCCTGCAAACTACCACCACCGCCTCCATCGCCAAAGGCAAGGGCGTCGCCGGCCGCACGCCCACCAGCCCCGGCGTCCGCTTCTCGACCTCCCCGCTCACAGACAACCACCGCCGGATCCGCATGCGCCTCTCCGCCCTCCTGCCCATCGAAGACGAGCTCATGAAGAAGCTCCTGCCCGACGGCGCCGCCGCCGTCAAGGACGTCTGCGTGCGCGCGGGCAGCGGCTGGAAGGGCATCCTCACCGCGCTCAGCGCGAACACGAGCACGCTCGGGCCGGTCACCCCCGCGAAGCCGCAGCTGCAGCTCGTGAGCGCGATGAAGGGCGGGTCGAACCCGAGCAGCAGGCCGGGGACCGCGGACGCGGCCAAGTTCAAGGACAACCCGACCGCGGTCCTCGCCGCGTGCAAGGACGACATCGTCACGTTGTGGGAGGATCCGATTGTCCGGGGTGTGCTGAAGAAGCATAATGTGCGGTTACAGGACATGCCCGGCTTGTGAGTTCCTTGATTGTGGCCGGGGGGCGGAGCGCGCTCAATGGGGTCTATAGTTTCTTGAACGACGCGGGGCGGGTCGCCGCGATGAGCTACGAGCCGACGGACGGTGCGTTCAGTCTGCTACCGGGCGCATATATCCCTCTCACACGCTCGGACAGACGACATCGTGCGTGCGCGAGTACGCACACTAGGTGTTGAAGAGCACCACTTCACGATGGAGAGCGGTGCGCTACCTGGAACAGAATGGTACATCTACGATGTCGGTGGAAGTCGCAGCGTCGTGCGTACCCTTCCCTCGTTTCGTTCCTGCCCGCGCATCTCATGAATCTAATAAATCTAACGAACGCTGATGGTCATCGTGACCCTTCGAATGTGTGTGCGGATGAATGTTGGATGCAATGCCGCGCTGCGCCTTCTGTGACGGATGAACAGCGTCAACACTGGATACCGTACTTTGACGACGTGCAGGCGATCATCTTCCTCGCGCCGCTCGCGTTCAACCTCACGCTCGAAGAGGACCCGAAGGTCAACCGTCTCGTGCGTCACATTCTCGTTCGCTGTCATAAGCGTTCCACTTGACTGACGCTACGACGGTTTTGGTTGATCACGCAGGAGGATTCTATCACGCTCTGGCGAGAAGTGTGCACGAACGCGCTCCTGGCCAAGACGACGCTCATCCTTTTCCTCAACAAGGTGAGCTTCCTGGTTCGCAGCAATACGGTTTTGGTTACTTTGGCATTGAGGGCGCCCCTGCTGTTCACTGTACCTCCGACCCCTCGAAGGGAACAGGGGCCCTGGATTGGCGATAGGGGTGCGGTGCGGCTGGCGTGCGGATCTTGCACCGTCTACCTGATTTGCTTTCCGGTGTTCGTTGCGCCATAGCGGATTCTCGGACCACTGATTGTTGGGGGGTATTCTCTGGTCGGTGTTATCCGAGGTGTCGGCGGTCGCTCTCCGAGTGCTTCTGTCTGAGTGCATGCTGGTGGTGTGCGAAGGTGACCCCTGTGCCGCTGCCCCGATGCAGAACACCCGGCGCACCCGCACGATAAGCACACCCTGGTCAATGAATTGACGACTGACTGTCACTATTTACGCACAGATGGACATCCTGCAAGCGACGCTCGCCTCGGGTATCCGTGTCGTGAAGTACGTCCCGAGCTACGGTGACCAACCAAATGACATCACACATGTCACCAAATGTACGTCGTATCTCGGCAATCGCTATCGCCCACTGACGGACTGTATGCGCGCGTGTGCATGCAGACTTCAGGGACAAGTTCCGTGGATACCACGTACGTGCTTCTGTCGATTTGCGTGGGCGCCGATGGGCGCTCCCGCGAGCGATCGTACTGATGGATTTTCGTCCGTCTGCAGAAGCGACTGTCGCCCAAGGCGCGCCCGTTCTACTGGCACGAGACGTCTGTCATCGTACGTACCCTTTTTGATTACCAACGCTGCAAACCCGTGCATTAGCGTTTGGCTGACGAGGCCCGGAACCTGTACAGGATACGCGCTCGACGGCTGCAATCCTCGTTGGCGGTGAGTTCGCTGCTGCGCTTCTAGTGTTCATTAGGTGAGAACGTGTTGCTGATCGATTTCATGGGCGCTACCTTCCCCGTCAACTGTCATCCAATCGTTCGTAACCACCTTCTTCCGACCACCATCCGTCTGCGTTCCACCACGCCTTGACCTGTCCATCTCGGGCTTTGGCTTCCGGGTTCTCGGAACACAGTACGCGAAGGTATCCTGCGCGCCCACTTGCAGAGCGTAAACGTAATTTGAGACGTTTACTGGGACGAGTCCCAAGCGGCCTCCTGTGATCATCAGCATCCAGACAACACTCCCTCTTTTCCATCAGTCATTGGTGTGGCGCCTGCCTCCACTGCCTGCGCCATTCGGCGCTTCTCTACTCCGCCGCCACTCCACAGCCTCACCAACCATATTCGTGCTCTCTCCTCCTTGCTGACTCCTGCGTGTCGCCTCGTGGATTACCACACCGCGCTTATATGCTGTTCATCGGTCATCATGATCGAATGTTCAACGCTTGGACCACGCCCTCCCACATCCCGACGGATGTGTCACTAGCCCCTGCTGGATCCCTCTACCGCCGTACCCTAGTGCATTCCATAATAGCCTCTCGTCGTATGTATCATCTCCGTTGTAAGCTTCCTGTCACATCGCTGCCCACACCCTTACGTTGTCTTGTGGAGTTGTCTTGTATACAGTACCCTTTGCTGCGCTGCTCTCGTGCTACGCGCCGCTTTCACTTTATTTGCGCGGACATCCTCTATCGGGACGGTCGTACCGGCGGTAGATATATTCATGCCGGTTCATGTCCATCGTCTCATCGATATCACCCGTTCGTCACTTGCGCATTTCGACCTCGACGGCGTAGGCTGATGGGTAGCATGCACGGAGACGCCATCTCGCTTCCTCTCCTGCATCGCATCGCATACACGACCCCGTCTCGCTTCTCCCCTCCCATGATATGCTCCACTCTCTTCGTGGTTCCGTCTATGTCCCGTCTAGCCCCGTGCGTCATCCCAGTACGCACGCATGCCTGTTCCCTGCCCGATATAGAGAAGCTTCTTGTACCGCCGTGTATCTGTAGATGTAGTGCGCACCCATTCTTACCGATTTACGTCAGCATAATTGTAATACGCGACTCGCTCAGTGTTCGATGTACTGTTCTGTTGATACCCTCGAGTTCTCTGTCCGTAGTAGATGTTTGTACATATACCCACATAGATCCATCTTACCGTCGACTCCAGCTGCGCTTTGTTGGCTCATCGAAGGCCCGGCGAGCATCTTCTGGACACGTCTCAATACCCGGGTCGGTATGCCGAAGATCGAAGATCATGTAGACTGACGAAGGAGTCGGACAGGCTTCTACGTCTTGCAATCAAGGTTCGTCGTCCTGGCGCTGTGATACGCCACCGCTTGCACGCGCCCATATACAGACATCTGCGTGCTCTGCAGCTCAAAGTCAATCCGCTGCGGGCCAGCGATATCGCGTTCGTCATCCGGGTGCTGCACAGCCTGTGATCCTGCATGCCTCTCAGGCTTTCGGCCCTCGATGCGCAGCCTGGGACGAGACGCTGCCATGATAGCTGTACTCGCTGACAGGCTGCTGTGCCAGTGGTTGGTGCGACGTCCATGCTCGCTGCCCGCTGCCCCACAAACCGGTGGTCCCGGTCGACGTCAATCTACCACAAGGTGGGTCGAACGGGGGCATCAGATCTGGTACAAGGAGAGGCAAGACTCTGAGAGCCTCGTGTCAACATGCACCGGCAGCAGTACCACCCCCTCGCACAGCAAGACGTTGACGAAGAAGATCGACCGAGCGACAGAGACGGTGACGAACCTCGGATAGCGATTCGGTCGGTCCGGTCAATGCACCGGCAGATCTTCCCGTAGGCTGTGAACGTCCTGAAGATCACAGCAGACGTTCGGCCCACAACAGATCGAAATCTGAAGTCGCCTGATGCAATTTGGTTTGGTCGCCCGGTAGTAGACATATCGGCGTGTCACGATCATGAATCACGCATTGCGGATGGTCAGTGCTAAGTAGACCACTTACCGCATATGATGCGTCGGATTGGAGGTAGGGCGACGACCCATGCAGATAGGATAGAGCAGCCCGCTTATTCCAAGGAGTACGCCGTGTCATTCTTAAGGAGTCACAGCGTGGAATCCTGGAGGAGGTTTCAAGGCAGGTGGGTACACATACTAGTGCGTAGGCGATCCATGATCTTGACCCCATGACCTACTCCGGAAACATGACTAACAAAGTTTGGTGGTAGCCCTAGGCGAATTTTGTACTTAAGCAGTCGCGAAGTCGCAAAGTTTCGGCAGTTGGAACGCACCGTTGATGATCCTCAGGGACGCCGTCCTTCTCGGATGATGGGGACGCATGGCGGCGAACATTCCCTGGCAAACTCCGCGGAAGTAAGTTGTTGGTAGGAGGTATCAATATTCGTTCTTATGTGTCGTCACCTATACTGAGGCGCGGATGCACAACACCCATGACAACATGGGAATGGACAGACACAAGGGGGAGGAGACTGTACTTGCGGGCGAGACGGGCTATAGCACAGTGACGTCCTAGATATCCAAGCGTCTTTGTCCGTCGTCATCGCAGTGACTTCCATAGACTGAAACCGCAGAGGGTGTTAATAGAGTTATGGCGTCCTGAGATGACATTCGAGCCACTCCGCAATGCTGTACTTTTCACCGCACGAACCTTGCCTCGTAGTGAAACAAAGGAAGCCTCGCCCGAAATACCGACGACCACGGATCCTGACGTGCTCAAACCATATATTCTCGAAGCTGCAACCCGCCGGCGGGAGCGTTCCAGCAGGCGCGTCATCAGTCATTCGTTGGTGTACGAGAGGATCTGACTAATACGTACTTACATGAGAGAACATTGTCAATGCGGCTACACGCGGTTCAGGTTTGACCACTGAATCGCATGGTGTCGGCAGAGCTCCCGTGGAATTTTACACATCCGCAGACAGAACGGTTGTGTTCATGAGACGACAATGTACGGCCCAGGAGGGAGAATCCCGAACCTCAGCAAACGAAAGTTCAGCTACTTGGAGGCTAGGTAGGACGTATGGGGTGCGGGTGGATGCGAGGATGCTCCAGCCAATTCTCAACGGGGCGACTCGTCATTGTGCGAGGTTCTCATGCTAGGGATCTTCAGTGTACGGACATAGTTTCATAGAGACCGGGCCGTGAAGAGGGCTGTCGCTTGGGCAAGGGGATGCACCCATTGCCTCAAGCCATTGAGGCTGTCAACCCGCAAGTTTCGAACGAGGCCCGAATGGAACTTGAGAAGTTACGACTGGTCTGGAACGCCCAGCCTCGAGAAGATCACGGGACCGTAACGCGTGAGGGGGACGCAAGGCCGCGAATCGTGGCCTAACGGGAGAGAGGCGCGCGGAGGATCGTATACCGCAAGTGAATAGCGACACCGGGAATGTGGCTCTAGAACTAAATCGTGCTGTACATGTTAACATTCGAAGAACGAGAACGGAGCAGAACTTGACCATACGCTTTTGCTAATGAACTCGTTGGAAGACCAAGACCAGAACTTCCAGCATCTGTGTTGCATCGTCCGCTGCATGCTTATAGATGATTTTAGTGACATTATAAGACTTCCAATGGATTTATAATATGGGATATGAGAACCACACGCAAGCACAGTCAGCTACGATGCGGTAAACAAGCGCAATAACGGGATCCTGACAAGCATTGACTGAACTGTTCCAAAGGACGACAGGAGCTTTTGGCGGTACCTATGAACTATCTCGAAGCAGTAGGCCGCTTGAATATATGTGCATAGAGCAAGACAGGTCGACGACATGCATAGAAGTGAAGTGCGAATGAAGCTTCATGCAAGCAGCGCGACAGGTCACGTACGACGAATCACAAGAGTTCCTGAATGATCAGTCCGCTCCTTGTTCATCACGCTCTCCTCCAGAGCCTTCTTCTTCATCCCTTTCCACGCCAATATCAACCGTGCCAGGAGCGGGAAACCAACCGTATTCACGAAGGTCGATCTTGAGTTCACCGGAGCGAGTCGTCACAACATCAACACCTTCTGCAACAAGCGCATCACGCTGACGCGTCGCGCCGTCCGTTCCAGGGCCTCGTGAAGAGATGGCTCCCGTAGAAGAAACTACGCGGTGCCACGGTACTGGCGGGTGCGCGTCTGGCGACAAGAATTTGAGGGCTAGGCTGCCAAAGTAAATACCTACTGGTAGCAACGCAGGGATAGCCTTCCACACCTTGTCCCACATGGCGAGAGTATGCGGGCTTTCCAATCAACTTGGCGACATGCCCTAGACAGCTAACGTTGTCAAACGAGGGACTTGTGACGAGCCAGGATGCGAACCGTAGGATGTCACGCGCTGAGGAGGGATCTGCCGCACGACATGATAGACCTAGCACCCAGAGTAGTTCTTATAAGTCAAAGAAGACAGCCAGGGAGGCTCTCAAGGTACCGCAGTGTGAAACCAGTCGCCGTCCATCGAAGATGATGAGGTCAAGAGCGAACCCGAGTCATGATACAACGGTGGTCACTTGTCACACCCTTGCAATAGACGCTCGTTCCCGAGCCGTCAAGGCAGCGACATGATCATTGAACGTCCAGCCCGACTACAGTTACTTAGTTCTCGTCCAGGCCATCTCACGCTTGAGGAGAGCAGTTACGAGTCAATGGTGATGATTCCAGGCTTTTGAGGCTTCGACCTGTGCTGGCTATAACCCACGGCGTCCCCATAGCGTGGCATGTCATTCAAGTTCTCTGTTCAAGTTTACACACCGTACAGCCTGTCCATGCGCTCATAGAACGGGGGAGGAAGCCCATCCACAGTATTGAACACTAGCCTTACGTTCTCACGGGTGTTGAAGCCAGAGAACGCAGCACGCCATCTACTTTGCGTTTGGTCATGCCGCACCCTGCGAGCCCCCGTCCTCGACATCCACGTCCCACATACGGTCACCTATGTTTCCATTCTCACGGCTAATGCCAGCACGCGGAAATGAGGATATTGCCTGTGACTGGGTCAAGCATCGCGTCCTGGAACCAAACGACGAACTCATCCTCAACCGAGCGCATTCCGTCACGATCGACCAAAGCCAGTTCGAGGAGTCGTAGCTGAGGGAGCGGCGGTGGGGTCTGCTCGAAGTAAGAGCACAGGGACTCAGAAAAGCCACCAGAAGTGGAATACATTGATCAGATCGAGGTGTGTAATGAAGCTGGCATTACATGATCAGATCGAGGTGTGTAATGAAGCGATAGGAATTGAACGGTCGAGTGGTCTCTTGGTTTCACTGACGTACCGAGGGACGTATCTGTTACGTATAATCAGTCAGAGGTATGTCTAACGCATATAAAGACACCTACTGAGAGATGACGGAAGGACACCCAGCCTGTTTGGCTCCTTCAACAAGGAGCATCAGTAAACCTGGGAATCACTTAATGCCCCTTAAAATCGCCTTTAAGGGCATTAAGGCGCTTAAGATGGCTTTAGGGCCGTCTAAGACGTAAGCATTAAGATGCTCCATTAAGACGCTTTAAGACGACTAAGATGGACGAGTGCAGAAACGTTCTGCACCGTTGTCGGGGGTGTCGGCCTCTGTCACAACGTATGCACAGGTTCTAATAGGTCTCTCACTCTGCTCTGCTCGATCATTGGAACGTATGCCGCACGTTGTACAGAGTCGAGGGTGAGCAGCTGGAAGATATGCGTGGGAGAGCTAAGTGGCTTAAGGCGCTAAGCCATTAAGACAATGCACGGTTTACTGATGGACACCGAGACGCATCGTAGTGGGGAAGCTATGCCAACCGGGAGAGGGATATTAGGGACCCAGGACAAGGGCAAGCCAGGCGACGTGACAAGTTCGAGCATTCAGACAAGTGAGCAGTCGAACGTAGTCCATAACAGCTCTAGTATGAATCGCGCCGGGATCTGACATTGGTGGAAGACCACTGTTCTCAGTGCTCGATAAAGATCGGTACGAGCACACCGCTTGCAACAGCCCGCTGGCCAGACTGTGCCAAACGCAAACTGCGTATCCAACGCGACCTGGTCGCATTTCAAGGTCTCGAATGCTGGGAATGTCGCGAGAAATTGGGAGAAATTGCCGAATTGGATCATCCATAGAGTGAGCGATCGTAGCTTGAATAGGCAGCGAAGTGCAGGCGTCTCAGGCATGATGTGCGCCTGCTCAGGCACTAGCATGGCGGTGGCCCAGGTTGGCACGACGATCCGGAGGTGCCGGACATAACTACAAATAGTCGGGTTGCCTTGCAGGAGGCCATCAAAAGCGGATACGGCATCGAGACTGAGGGGGCATCGAAGGGTAATGGAACGGAACAGGATGGTGAGGGCGCATTGAAGCAATGCTCTGCAGCCAAGTGACAGATTGCCAAGAGACTGATGATCGCTAGTGAGACTCATTGGAACATCTCGAACCAGATGTCCAAGGGAAGTGAAAGCTGACATTGACTCATGAAGATTCAGCGTAGGGGCATCGCATCGGAACCAACGGGTTCTGTGCGACAGTTTGGTAGCAGTGGTGAACGGATACATCTGTTGAACTGACACTCTACTCTGCCAGCGTGAAGTTGTAGCATTTTCTCGCGCATTGACGCCATAGAGGGGCGGACTCACACGCACATATCCGAGCAGCTCGTCGTGCAAGTCCGGTCAATCTCCCACCGCAGCCCGGAGAGAGGGACTCCCGCTCGTGCGGAGTCAATGATCACAAGCAGAGGCATTCCGAGTCGGAGATCGGCGCTGTGTTTCCTGGTTCCCAACATGATCATCCATTAAGGCCCGAGGCTCCAGGGAATGAGATGCTCACCCACGTCTACATATTTGGACGGACACCATTGAAGGCGGTCTCTCGAATCAGGAGTCTAAACGTGCGCAGTCAAGTTTTGAGGGAAATGAATGGTCCTTGGACTGGCGGACAACAGTGCCGATGTCCGTTGTCCTGAGTCGGAGGCGAGTGCAATTCTACCAAGCCTTGATGGAGCGAGAGAAACGCCCCGCGAGCACGCGCAGCATCACGATCCTGATCGGGGGAGCATCTCGGGAAAGCGGCTGGGCCGGTCAAGCACCTCCTGTTGATGTTGACTTGCAAGTTGAGCATTTGCTCCGACTATCATCACAACCGTTCTCGAAGTACTGTTCCCTTGGCCCGAGACAGGGGACATTGGAGGCTGACGAACACTCACAGGGTCTACGTAGATTCTATTGTACACGGCTCGGTCTATGCAGCGCATGCATGGAGGGTCGCTCGCTCATAGGAACGTTGGAGTAACTCAAGGCGGGCGGGTTGCGCGCGAAGAAGAGTCACAACGTCTAACGCTCTCACTGCGGGCAGCTCACGGCGTTCCGGAACATGTCGGAACAGGAGGGAGACGCGGCACATGTCTCCGCGGCTGCGGTACGTACTCAAACTCCGAGCAGTGTGAAGAGCGGCTCTGTACATAGCAGGCGTTCGGAGACGCAATCTGTAAGCGGTATAACGTGGTGAACGCTACATAGTACCCGCTGCAGTCATCATGCATGCCGAATGCTCAGCGCTCAGTCCTCGGCATCGTGCACTTCCTACTAATCCGCAAAGGGCTTTCGAGCAGAGTGCTTACAATTTCAGGCAACTGGCTACGTAGCCACGCATGCACGCAGTCACGTGTTCGCTTTCTTAGTTAATCGCAGAGTGGGTAAGCGACGCTTAGTATCCTATTCTTGGTTCTCAGTGTCCCCTACAAGAAAGTTCTTTCCTTGCGCAATGTAGATTGAATATATTTCAAGTTTTTTCTACTACTCATGCAGTTCTCAATGCGCGCAAAACGAGTCTACCCAAGGGCTTTGCAGGATGTATAGACTTTGGCCTTGCCCTTCGCCGAACTCCTGCCGGAGGGCGCTCCAGTTACAACTTACACTAGACGCGCAGTTACACGACTGCGTGGCTGCATACACACAGAGCTTGGCGAGCTTCGCCATCAATCGACTGCGTGAATATGTGGTTACGCAGCCTGCTACATAGCCAGTTGCGTGAAATGGTAAACGTCCTCACCTTGCCAGACATCTAATGCAGACGCCAGCTCGACTTCCGATTCGTCCGACGTAGTGCCCTGGATTGACCGCCTGCTAGGCTTGATTTGGGAGCATGAGGCGAGGTCGGATGCCTTGGACGCATAGGAATTTTACGAATCTGACGGGTTCTGATTTATACCGGAAAACATATACAAGAAGGACGAAGTTAGAACAAGAACGTAGATGCAAAACCGTCGTTGCTACAAAGTATACAGTCGTGATCGTTGAATTCGTAAGGAAAAAGTCTCGTGAAACGTGTGGGCCTCTTGTATGGACAACTGAGCTCACGCTGTCAATTGGTACAACGTGCTATCATCTATGTCAAGAAGATCGTCAAGAAGATGTATCGTCACTAAGCCAAATGATTTGCCGTAGCGTGCGGCTGCCATATATCAAACCATTCAGTCAGCTGACATGCCTCGCACAGGTAGTTGTGTACTGACCTCGCTGTCTGACACACGTCCTCAAGAACTTGTCTCGCTCGCAGGAGCAGCTGTGGCGCTGACCCAGCTCGAGGTAGTCGGAGCGCTAGACGCTGTGCCCCACGTAGAAGTAGGCTCAAAGACCTCGCTACCGCTAGCGTAGCATATCACCACTGGGCAGGCTGGAATGATCGGTCCTCCGGGTTGGAAAGACAGAGAGGGCGCGCTACCGGCAGAGCTGGCGACACCAGATGGCAGCGAGGTGGGCCAGCTCCACGCACCGCTGCTCCACTCAACAGTATATGGAGGCCAGTGGATGGATACGCCTGATGGGAAGGCGGTCGACGGGAACGGTAGAATGGAGAAGGGGGGAAAAGGCCAGCAAAAAGGAGTGGGAGAGGCAGTCGCACTCGAACTAGATGCGCTCGAGTCCGGGCCGGTGGGCCATGCGTTTGGTAGTCCGCTAGAGGTGCTGATATGTGCGCCAGAGGGCTCGCTCCAAGGGTTGAGGGATGTTACAGAGGAAGACGGGATGAAAGAGGTCGAGGAGACACCGGTCGGCCACGCGTTAGGCAGTCCGCTAGGGGTGATTATATGTGCACCAGAGGGCTCGCTCCACGGATTGAGGGATGTCGTGGAAGTGACCCCGTCCCGCTTTGCCACGGTGATAGGGCCCGCACTCACTGGAAAGCTATGTGAGCGTGAAATCCCCCGAGGTCGGAGCGCTATGCCTCGCACCTTGGAGAGCGGCCAGGAGCACAGCTAGGAGGGCATTGAAAGTCTGCATCTTCGGTCGAAAGCTACTGACAAGCGGGTATCTGAGAGGATGCCGCTAAGCGGATGAATGGGGCAGATGTCCGTCGAGATTCCTGCGGTCTCTATAAGCATCGCCTTGCGCCATTATATACATTCCCAACTGTATAAACGCCAGATGAGATGAGGAGAAGCGTCTGTCCGTAATTATACTTAGCCGAGAGAGCCCACGAGCACACCTGCTTGATTAGTGGTGTCCTAACTGACCTGGCCAGCATAACATTGGAGCACAGAGACCGGATGGCTTACTACTCCGGTTAACGTCATTGCAGGTGGACTGCTACTGTTGAACGCTCCATCTGGAGTTGGGGGCGTTTTCCCCAATCACGGACCATAGTAGAGACGCTGTAGATCAATCGTTTCAGACTAATGTCATTGGCAAATGAACAAGTGAATGCATTATACGTACTATTGGTAAGACCCAGCATACTGGCTAGATTTTCAGTCACTGCGCGGTACTTGTTCAGCGCGAGCCGGCAGCTGAAATATACGTCCATGCTGCATCATCTCCGGTTGCATCCACCACTGCTTGCTCCGAGCATCGATTGTGAGTCTGTTGGGCCGTAAGTGTAAATTAATGGGCAACGACACAAACTTGTACATGCAAACCAGTTCCGTATCCACAGCAGACAAAGCCAACGCAACTGTCTTGAGGTCGGTTTGCTGGCGCTGTGTGTAACAAGCGCGTTCCGTGTCATCACGTAGACGTTCTGTTGAACACAGCATTAGTCAAACCGGCTGAGATCCCACACAATCACGCCGCGACGTGGATAGATGACGGGCTTTACTTACTGGCACGGCGGCAGATGCCAAATGGATCCCGACTGCCGTGTCTGACTCGTGTTAGTAGCAAGGTCAGAAGACTCCGCATGAAGGACTATCTCAAGCCAGATGCATAGGATGTGAGCAGTGTACGCCCAAGTTCAACATCCCTCCAGATTCCTCCAGGAGTGATGATGCAGGTCTGACGAAGCCGGGTGCGGGTGGACAACAGGCTCAGTGTGGCGGCCGCCGCCAGGCGGCCTCGGAGACTGCACTAGACCAATCGGGTCTCCAGGCTGCTGGCGGCCGAACTGCCTTCATCGTGAAGTGAACCTTCTCCGAATGCGATGCCTACGGGCGCGATGGTAGTGAGTGGATATCCGACAAGGAAAATACGCCACCGGAATGCAGACTGAGATCCGAGCACCAACTGAGAGACGCGCGCATGTTGCTCAAAGCTGAGTAAGTCGATGGGGGCCGGAACGGTTCAAACACGGTATGGCGGTGAACAGGCCAAACTCACCTCCTACAAGCATTACAGCGCGCAGGTATCACGTTATCAATAACCTCCCGCTGAGCATGAACAGTGAAGAGATAGAAAGTAAGCTAGCGAATCCACACGGGCTCGAACATGGATGACTAGTGTTTCAAGGTAAATAGGCGGATTCCGAGAGGCCCAATTTGCTGTGCACGCGCCTCCAAAAAAGCCACGCACTCCGACGCACTTGCGACTGCGCCGCCTCCCATTCGCGCGTCGATATGGCACACTCACCTTCCAAGTCCCCTCCGAGAGCTTTCATATTACTGGTGATCGAAGACGACTCACAAGCAAGTCGCTGCATGCCAGAACATGCGGGAGCGCGCCCGCTTGCCCACAAGTTCAACCTTCGAGTAAGCCATGCACTGATTTTATGTCATGGGTAGGTTTGCTAACATTACAGATAATCAAGACAGTGACATGCTAAGACCGCACCGAACAACCCTACCGCGAGAACCGACACCTTCGTATCCGCGCTTGTGAATCCAACTTGCACACCGAGATCGGCGGGGTAGCTTGCACGCTGGTCGCTGTCTTTATCGTGTACGATCAAAGGTCTGAGATCACGAGTACAGTGGGATGTGCTTTCAGAGCATGGTGCGGCTATGTTCAGTATCTTCTGGTTGTTCTGAGTTAAGTCGATAAGTCACTCGTACAGGATGTCTGACAATGCAGCCACAAAGCTCACGAAAGACGATGCAGCAATCCAATCTGCCGCGCTTGACACGGCAGTATGCTCTTTTGCTGGTGTTTCTGAAACCCGCCCAGGATCACCATCTCCCCTCTCCTCCACATGACGTGAGAGTCAGACAAATGGTCAATGTGAAGCGCCAACGGAAGCACATACCAGGGTCTCAGGGGACCATCCTATCAGACCACCCGCACCGATTACCATGAAACCACGAGCTGCGGCCAGCCCGGACTACGAAGGTATCCGATCACCATCGCGATCCTGGACGCGTAATTCTCAGCGTGTGCTGTAGCTCACCTCCGACAAACGCCAAGAGCAGGCAGAGGAGAGCTGCTCGAAAGGCGGGCGGAGAGTGCATCGAGCACGGAGACGAGGGGAGTGTGGGGCGACGAGGCAGGGGTTTGCCAGGGCGGATGGAGAGAGGAGTCCACGTTCACCATTGCTACCGAAGCACTCGAAAGAAGGGCTTCTGTCGAACTATCTTCTCGCAAAGGCTCACGCGCACGCCTGTCACGCACGTTCATCGCGTGTATCTCATTCAAGCATCTAGTCTCGAGAGCATTCCCGGTGCGTTTACTGACACGTAGTCCTTCGTCTTTCGGGCTCCAACTGCATGCTATTTGCGAAAGTGACTACTGTAGCAGCCGAACATTGAACGCGAAACGATGGACCATCGATTGAGGCTTCGTGTCAAACCCCATATGCAATACCCGCCGTCTAGTAGCCCAAGGCCTCAGCCCAATTATCGAGCCACGCCAACCCCAGCCTGGTCTCACATCACATTACGGAACTCCGGAAACGCGGCAGAGGTGCACTGGGAGGCAAGTACGCAACGCCGCGCCTCATACGCATTTTGAAGTTGGCAGCGACAAGAATAGCACGGTGACACATTAATCTCTTGGCGCGCCAAGGCCCTAGACTATCTCCGTGTCGGTCGGAGGCAAAGACAGATCAGCGACGTATGCAGACAATAACTTCTGTTACAGGCGCGTTTGACTCATTAGAAAGGCGGCTAGGGGTAACTTGGTGCCGGGCGAATGAAGGGTCCTCATCACCCCTCAGACACCCAGTCAAGCTCGAGAACCTATACATTGGCAACTGGCATGTGGAGGGTCAACCCAACGTCAGTCCTCTACGAAGCCGTACGCACTACACTTCCTTGGTCACTGACTCGCGCCGATTAATACAGAGACGCTGGTTGAATCTAGCCGTCCATGACTCGGATTGCAGATAAGCTAACCGCACACAGCTGTATAACGTACATGCAAGCCTTCTCTGCCGTTTCTTGGACGCAATATATCATTTGGGAAGGTGCGCTTGGTCCTTGGATACATGACCTACTCTTTGTGCGGACTTAGTATCGACCCCTTATAGCATTGTCCGGTCTCTTCGCATGCGCGCTATGTAGAAACCGAATGCTTGCCACTCAAGTCTGCCTCTGTGGGGTCGCACCCGCGATGATAGACTTTGTACGCCCCCCGAACTTATGGTATCGTGACGGATATGTTCACTTTGTTTCTCCTGTCCTAGACACAACTTCACGATAATCTTACTGGTATCATCCTTCTCATATCCTGAATCACGCTTCGGTGCATCGCTGTCTCCTACCGGACCCATGAGCTTAGCAACATGTAGGCAGGAATATCACAACACCTATCGTCTTCGGGATGACTAATAATCGCTCTTCCTAGCTGTAAGGTTACGCGCATACTGCTTAGTCTTGCAACGGCACTAACTTGAATTCTCCCTTCTCGTTGCGGTGGCCATCGTGCCGCGGTCGTGTTTTGTTGCCATGGATGCGACTGTTGTGATCCTAACTTTGGTCAAGCTGGGGAAGGACGGCATCGTTCTGAACATGAAGCACGGCGTCGCTCCTCGCTAATGACAGTATTTTTTCGTAGTGGTGCGCACGATCAATGAAGAACTCAAGGAAGATGAGCTTGATGACATTCACCTCGTATGAAGGGGTTCAGTACTTCTTGTGAGTGCCTGCGACTGCTCATCTGGCTCGCATCCCGATTCTCATTCTTTGCCACTAGTATTCTTGTCGCGCTGAATGTGATACAGCTCGGCTTGACCCTAAGCTCTAACGCGGTGAGCTCTGGTCACGATCTTATCCTGCGCAATCGCGCCCGTCAGGATGATACTCATACACATTCCAGGATCTCAGCGCGCATGTCAACACCATCGCCGTCTCTAAGCACCTGTACGTCCTTCGCTCCATCTCCCGTTCTATCCCTTGGATATTACCCCACCGCGAATAATACTACTATGACACGTGGGACGGCCTCAGTCCTCCTGTCACAGTTTTTCCTTGACCTGCAAGCCGCCAGCCGGTGCTCGCTCAAGCTCGAGCTTGGCACCGACGATCCGCTCCGTTTCTCCATTTCCACTGACGCGCTACGCTCCATGCTGTCGCTGTCTTTCGCTGAGCCGATTGTGGGTCCGATGGGGGACGCGTACATAGAATCGTACACAGAGCCTGGAGCCCGAGGAAGACTCCTTCAATTATCAGGACCACACGAGAGGCCAGAATGTATGAATACCGACTGGCAAACGTGATGCGTCAAGGTCGCGTACCCCGAGTACCACGGTGCATTAGGATGGCAATAAGCTATGACTTGATCCGTACACGCTCGAACCCAGGTCCATATATCGAGCATGCAGAGGGCCTCCTTGGTAGAGTCAGAAGCAATGAACGGGTATACATGCACGAGAGCCGCAGGCAAATAGTACCTTTCCTGCATTACCACGAAAGAACCCATGCAGACCGGGGGAAGAACGAAGAGAGTAGTTGGGAATCGAGACAAGGGGAGGGGTATAGCTGACAATCTCGCTCTACCGGAGTTCACCAAATGCTCCGCTCAAAGAGCCCACGCTGCCGCGCACAGAACGACACCCAGGCCGACGCCAACTGCGGATATCCTCCCCGCGCCGTTGTTCTGGAACGTCGACCCGCTAGGGAGCGTAGGCCCGCCCTGCGCGGTGCTTGAGAGCGGCGAGATGACAGTCGCCACCGCGCTCGAGCTCGAGAGGGCAGAGGAGGTCACATTCACAAGGGAGGCGCTGACGATGAGCGTGCTCGGCGAGGCGTTGACGGCCGTAGACCGAGCGGAGGTCTGCAAGCAGGCACAGGTCAGCATGCCGCGCATAGAGGTACGAGGAGAAATTCAAACGCAGACGTACTGAGCTGACGTGTGCAGAGCCGGAGCTGGAGCCGGAGATGGATGCGAGCGCGGTCGTCCTCTGGGCGGTCGCGACGGTCTCCGCACCGGTCTCCACGGACGCTCTCGATGTGAGGGCAGATGCAGTCTCAGAGGCAGGGGCAGGAGACGAAGCCGAAGGAGAGACAGAGTGAGTAACGACAGGGGTGGAAATGTGTTCAGCAGACGTGGTGGGGTCCGAGCGCGTAGCAATCGCTGACGTCGCCGTGGTATGCTTCACGGGAGGGGAGTTCGTCGGACGTACCGACGAGGACACGGAGACCTGGCGAGTGGAAGTGGGCGCAGGTTTGGACTCGGACCCAGGGACAGTGACGGTGTGCGTGACAGAGACAGAGACGGAGACGGAGCGGGTGGAGGTGACACTGACGGTCGTCGTCTCCGTAACCGTCTTGTCATCGCCGGCGCGTGCCTCGATGCCCTGTGTGATTGTAACTCAGTTCATGTTCGCGCGTCGGATAGGAGGGGTCAAAGAATAACATTATCTTCGAGATGATTGTGGGCGTGGGTATCATGCCCTAAGATGACGCGGACTGTACGATGATGGCTTGAGCTTGGAAATTTATAAGCATAGCGATAGACTTACTCTGCACGAGTACGAGCACCAAGCCGAGAATTGACTGCAGCAAATGCATGACTCTAGTCTATGCGCACAAACACAGTCGACAGAAGACTTGGACAGCAGCAGAAGGAGCGGACGGCAAGGGGATTCGCATTCTTATTGACTAGCCCAGCGCCATAAGACCCGCAGTCGCACTTAGAGTGCCGGGAAGCCAGCGAGTTCCCTGACGAAAGTAGGCGCGTCCATGCATCGAGGCACAAAATACCTGCACTCTTCCAGGGCGGTCGTCATCGGAATGTCTTATCGTGGGCCAAGATACGGCGATGTCCTCTCAACTAAGCCTCCAAAGAAGCCGTCAGGAGTTGGAAGGATGAGAGGCAGCCCCGAGGAGAACACAATCATTACCACGGAAAAGTGACAAGGACAGTGTAGTGCGCCTTTACTCCGGGGCTTCTCATTGCGTGGGGATTGGCGGCCGTTCAGACCAGGACACGGTGAGTTAGGCTCAGACAAGCCTGGATGTAACGGCGCGTGATAGAATTTTTGAGTATATCAACTGAAGAATAGGTGTCTTCACGCGATGTTGTGTGAGAAGGGAGAAGCAGACAACAGTCACAGTGTGCAGATAGTAGCGTTCAGGTTGGGAAGAACCTCGAAACGTGGTCGGCAGGGATTGTGCGGCGTGCCTTTAGGAGAGTCGAAATGAACGCTATAACCGGCGGCGTGGGATCTTGCGAGGACGAGCACTGGCCTTTACTTATACGAAGTCGTCGGCCGCGAGGTACAATAAATGCGCAAATAGGGTAACGGCTCAGGCCCATACTGGATATAATGCGCCACGAGACCGCTTCTTCGGTATCAGATTGGCCAAGAACTGCTCGAAGATGTAGGGACCGGCCAAAACGTCCAGGATGGATGGAGCAAGGCGTGTTGCGGATAGGGTGGTCTCAGAGGGGTCTGGAGTGTTGCGTTCTCTCTGATGTCATCTGGGACCCGTGGACGTGCGAGAGCTTGCTCAGTGGCTGGCTAGTACATGAACACACACCGTATCCCGCTGGGACCAGATGTGCCTAGCCCGTTCTCCGCAATCCCCTTGAAAGCGTACGCTTCAGTGCCCTTGCCTAGAGTCGTGCGTACGGAAGAATGAAGGACAGCTCTTTTCCTCACATTGTGCTTCATGAGATAGCCGCAGTATCACTCCACATCAAGGAGTGTCGTAAGGATGGGAAAAATGAATGGCGCCCTCTGGAATGAGTTTCCTTCGTAGCTTTGCATGCGACTTGAAGAAGAGCTTGGGCGACTTTGGAGCGCACGCGTAGATAGGCGAGATCGAGCCTTCCTGAGAAACTCTAGAATGTCTTGGAGGCGTGCAAGGGAGGCTACCATTGGGGAGGGAAGTCGGCGCTGGTGGACATGCTTCTGCGTCTCCACGAACTCGGCAGCTCTAACGACGATGATGGAAGGGGCTGGGAAGCTGAACGCACGCTGGGCGGATTACGACCGGCTTTGAGGGCATGAAAGGTGAGGTGCGTCCAGATAGGCTCTACGAACGAGCCGTCTTCCTGGAAGGATGTAATACGGCGTGACGGGATAGGGAAGCCCCGCGCAGCGTTGTACAGCCAATACGAGACAAGGGAAAAATGCGGTCATGTATGTGGGAGGAGTTCTGGTGTGCAAGGAAGGCCTAGAGGGGGCACGTACTTTGGACAATGGAGGTGGCTTAGGGGATGAGAGTACAATGGCATGGCGCATTGGCGCGGGTTGCTGTGAGAGTACCTGCACGCTCCCGGGGGCCGAGATGATCTGGTATATATACGTTTGGATATAGTGCTCCACGACGAAGAGAAGGATGCAAGTACAACTGTAGAGGGTTTTTGGTGAAGCTTGAGGCATATTCAGCTGCCTGTTCATGCATCATGCATCATGGCTGAAAGACGACCGACGCTGCACACAGTCCGAATCTCGGAGTCCAAGCGCACGAGCCAGACCCGCTCCGGTTACACGCCTGACGTGGAGGATCCATCAAGGGAATCGTAAGAGAAATCTGAGAAAGCCCAAGACTGCGTGAAGCGAGACTCGGAGGACCGTGACATGCTCAGTGAGGACAGGGAGCTCAACCCACTCGAGCTGGTAACGCGCCAATGCTGCACTGCATTCACCGCTGGCCGTCGCTGAACACGTTTTCACGGATTGCCTTCGTGTATATTGTCGTAATTCATGCGCGTGTGGTTTCGAATGAAGAGGTCAGAGGCAAGTGCGGAATGATTAATGATGTCCGGGTCGAACGGTTCCAATGACAGGCGCCGGCGGTCATTCTTTGCAATCTTGTGCTCATCAGGAAAAACTCCCTCAGCTAATTGAGCTAAGCGAGCTAATTTAGCGCTAAAAAGCGCCATTAGACGATTAGTCTAATATGATAAGTCCCCAACTAATTTAGCGGCCATTAGTAGCATTAGTCGCTTCAGTAAGCGCTCAGCAGCGGCGGTCGTCCGGGGTATTCTAGCGTTCCATATCGCATTCACAGGTATTGTTTGTAAGACAATGAATTATATTCAAGGAGTACATGCTACAGCGACTACCAGTAGAGTAAACAGTGACCTACAACCTCTGGGTACTATACAAGGACACTACACGACATCATCATAACCCGCCTTGACCAAGCTACGGTACCAGGTATGCATACCCAGGACAGATACGGCAGGTAAGTGTAATACAAACCCAATAGGAGAAGCACACTACCAACGACCGGTAGCAGAGTGGGATCACATGCTAAGAGTGTACTTACCTGATGGATACGCGTCATGCTAGTTGTAGCAGCACTCAGGCCAGACGATAACTCACCTTCAGGGATCATACACTACACACCATACTAGACTGCTACTTCGGCAGTACATAGTCTCAGACTCACCTGAGCGACAGCATCCGCATAGCATTGCAACAGTGGGGGACATCTCACAGGAAAGGGGATAGGGCCCAGTGCTTAAAGGGACATACCTATGAACTCACGCGTACTAGATCAGCCCCCGGCAGAGATACCAACGTAAGGTTTCAGCAGAGGCGATGAGGATGCCCAAGAGGTCAATGCAGTGGAACAGAACAGAGCAAGACTTGGACGATATACGGAGGTCGTAGAAGGCAAAGGAGCGACGTGGCAACCGCACGCAATCGGAGACGCTCTCCCGCTCGAGCGCCCAGATTTAGGGCAGGCGTACAGAGACTTGGCAAGATACGCAGGCGGCCTTGCCTGACTCGAACGAGCCCAAAACATGTATTCCCTCAATACAAAGCATGTTACTATGTACAATTGCCACCTACGATGTCCTATGGACCCATTCACCATTCAAATTTTCAGAATCAAGGCCGACGACCTTGACGGGCGCTATTAGTTGGCATTAGTACTAATTTAGTTCTAAATAGCCCAGGG